AAGCCGCAATTGCGGAGGTAGAAATGTCCGTTCTCCAAGCCACCGGCATAATCCATGCGCTGCGCATTGTTCGCAGTAGCATCACCTGTAAAGCGACCAGTGGTAATCTCAGACCAGGCACCGTTCGTGTTACGTGCCCACTGGTTGCTGTATTGCACATGGCGACCAACATAACCTCTAGTGTCGATGAAATTCTCCAGGAAGGAGTAAACGCCGGACTGATACGTCGTGGTGGAAGGACGCTTCCAGGTGGCGATATAGCGCCAAGCGTTCGTCTCTGGGGTGAAGATCCACGTGGAGAACAATGTACTGCCTGAGCTGGATTCAGGGCGGATACGTGTGATGAACTTGTAGGTGGTGCCGGCTTTCCAGCCGAATACGAGGTATGCCTGACCTCCTGTGCCCTCACCACCAAAATCGTTGACGACGACGTCCGCGCCCTTACTCACGAGCGTGGTCTTCTGGCCATTATCTGCGTCCCATACGGAGAAGAGGACCTTGCGTTCGGTTGCGCTGTTGACCTGGATTCCAGAGTAGCCACCGGAAAAGCCCGCGACCATGAAGTACGAGCCAATGGCGTCCTCATTCACGGGAACGGTTACTTCGTTGTAGAAGTACTCGGAGTTGGCTGGGACGGTGTAGGTCATGTGAACCGATGGGCCGCGACGCGACCAGTAGTAGTTCGCTGGGTCATTGGCGAAGGCGAGCGCAGCCGTCGTGGTCACGCTCAAGCCCGATACGTCACCGAAATAGCTACCGTTATTGGAAACACCCTGCAAGGCCACGGTTACGTAGCCGGGGGCAGGGACGCTGACGGTGCCAACGGAATAGGTCTGGGGAGTAGTGCTTGCGAGTTGGATTGTGAATGAGGTCCCATTGACGGTGACTTTGACAGTGCTGTTGCTACTGCCCGCCAAGTAGGCGTTCAGCCCGATAGCTACCTGGGCTGCAGAGCCAACGCGAAAATAAACGCTGCAAATAGTGTTTGGATTGGTCCAGTTCGCCAGGCCGTTGTCGTTGATGACCTCGACAGCTCCTGCTGGTACCGTGGTGAGGAAGGCATTGCCAGCCAATGCTACCGTTGATGTTGACATCGTAGATGATCGTACTATAGTGGAGGATGAGCTGGAGCTTTTAGATGCAAGTTATGGCGTACTCGAAGGGCAGTCGAAGGAGGTTGATGTAAGAGCTCGCTACCAGAGGTAGTAGTCTCGTCCCCAGCCATTCTAGCTCACCTGGGATACTCCGGGCGGACTTCGAAAAACCGAAGTCGTCCTGACCTTTATGCCGCCTCAGTGTACTCTGGCATCTAAAATTGGCTATTGCTCGTATCTTTAAACCAGGATGGCCTGAAAGTAAGTAACTGGTTCCTTACAATTTGTTAACCTCTTACATGCCCTGTTCCCAACCTTGCTCTTTATATACCCAGCGCTGCATGCCCCTAATCGACCCCAGATCTCCTGTTACTTCCGCTTACCCCACTGCTCCAGTTTCATCCTGCTAGCCGCCGCAGGCGGTCGAGAACCAGAAGGCTCGATAAACAAATACATATGTGAATCTATATTTTCCGTAGAGTCACGAGAATGCTACATGAGTGAGCATACACCAGCCGCGAAGACGCCAACCTCGATCGCGAGAACAGCTGCCACGAGAACAGCTACCGGGACAATATTTGTCGCGTAGCGGAGCGAAGCCGTCTCTTGTCTTGGTCATCTATCTGGGGCATCAGTTTCGCTGCGATCTCTGATGTACTCGAGCCGTCGCGGATGGCGTCGCCCGGCGGCATACATCTCAGAACATGATTGTGATAGACATGGGCAACTCAGCTACGGCAGATTCGACTCTTGATATATGGGGACTTGAACGCTCTCAGACCGAGAGCGCGTGTAATGTCGCCTGCGCGTGCTGCAAGCTGCATGTTAACGTCCCTGCTTCTGTGGCCAGCCAGAAAACATATAGCTTGGGGTTCATGTGCATGAGAGAATTCCATGGGCTGCGGATAAAATCACTATAATTCCGGAATTGGCTTATACATGTGGCTCGAGGATGCTGGCCAGCGTTCCAAGTACGCCACCGGTGTACCATGCCGTTATTGCATGATAG